TTCAAGCCATTCTGTCATAAGTCCTGTTTGCAATACTATTTCAGCTATCAATAAAGTTGTTTCTGTTTCCAATGTTTTCTCTTCTTCTAAATTATGGCATTATAGACTTGGGCACTTGCCTTATGCGGCTATGAAACATATTCCTACTGTCTCTTTTACTGAGAAAGATGACTTTCCTTGCGATATATGTCCTATGGCTAGACAAACTAAGCCACCATTCCCTCTTAGTTCTATCTCTTCAACTAGTTGCTTTCAATTACTACATATTGACACTTGGGGGCCTTTTAATACTCCAACTTACAGAGCTGAAAAATATTTTTTGACTATAGTTGATGATTTCTCTAGATGTACTTGGACATTTCTCTTAAGTACCAAATCTGATTCTTTTTCCTCTTTCAAATCTTTTTTATCCTTCATTGATCGACAATTTTCTGTCAAAGTCCAAATCATTAGATCGGACAATGCCTTTGAACTGGGTTCTGGTTTTGAACATAAAGTTTTTCTACAATCTCAAGGAATTTTACATCAAACCACTTGTGTGGATACCCCGCAACACAATGGCATCGTCGAGCGCAAGCATACGCACTTATTAGAGACTTGTCGGGCTCTTCTCTTTCAATTTCATACCCAAAAGAAGTATTGGGGAGACTGTTTGTTGACTGCCACTTATTTACTAAATCGATTCCCTTCTAAAGTTTTACACAATAAATCACCCTACCAAATTCTTTTTGGGAAAGTTCCTGATTATAACTATCTCCGACCCTTTGGATGTTTATGTTTTACCTCTACATTGCCTCGACACAGGGACAAATTGAGCCCTCGTGCTGTTCCTTGTGTTTTTTGGGATACCTTTTTGGGAAGAAAGGGTACAAGACTCTCAATTTGCAGACAAATCAAATCATTATCTCCAGGATTGTCAAGTTCTTTGAGCATATTTTTCCTTTCGCCTATTCAACTCCTCTTCAGAAGCTGTTTCCCGCCTCTTCTTTTCCTAGCACAGACTATTCTCCTCCGCCTACTTCTTCTCCAGTTACCTCTTTTTCTGACTCCATCGCTCCACCTCCATCTCCTACTTCTTTTATACCTACTCCTGTTTCTAATATTTCTCCATCTCAGTCCCCTATTTCTACTGATGCTACTGTGCAGGTTCCTACTCTGGTGTTACCTTCTCCACATGGCCAGGTATTGCACAAATCACAACGAGTACATTCTGCTCCTATATTTCTTTCGGATTATATTTGTAATTCTGCCTCTTCTCTTATTTCTCCTGACGCTCCTTGTCTTCCTCTGCATTCTTTTGCTTTTGCTGCACTTTCCCCTCACAATCAATCTATTCTCACCTCTATTTGCCAAATACAAGAACCACATTCTTATCAACAAGCAGTGTTGCACCCTGGATGGAAGGCTGCAATGACTTAAGAGTTTGCGGCACTAGAAACAAATCATACCTGGGAAGCTGTCCCATTACCTCCTAGAAAAGTTGTTTTGCCTTGCAAATGGGTTTACAAGGTCAAACTAAAGTCTGATGGGATTTTGAAGAGACTCAAGGCGCGACTAGTTATTTGGGGAGATACACATAGGGAAGGCTTGGATTATTTTGAAACTTTCAGTCCTGTTGTCAAGATGACAATCATCCAATGCCTTCTTTCAATAGTTGTTAAAAGGAAGTGGGATTTATTCCAGCTGGATGTCAATAACGCCTTTCTTCATGGTGATTTGGATGAGGAAGTCTACATCAGATTTCCTCCGGGATTGCCTGCTCCTTCTCCATCTACGGTTTGTCGCTTACGTAAATCTATGTATAGTTTGAAGCAGGCATCTCGACAATGGTATGCCAAACTATCTTCTGCTTTGAAGACTAGAGGCTTTACCGCCTCTCGTAATGACTATTCCTTATTTTTCAAAGTTTCTGGTCCTCTCATCGCAATTCTTGTTGTGTACGTTGACGATATTTTGCTCACAGGAAATAATTCTTCTGAATTTCTGCCATTAAAACATTTATGGATTCTGAATTTCAAATAAAAAATTTGGGGCTTGCTCACTATTTTTTAGGCCTGGAGCTTGTTCGTGAGGGGGGTGGATTGGTTGTCACACAAAGGAAATTCACTCTAGAGCTCCTCAAAGAATTTGACTGTCCTGATTCAAGATCTGTTTCCACTCCATTGAATCCCACTCTCAAGCTCACATCAGAATGTGGCAGGCCTCTCCCAAATCCAATAATTTATAGACGACTCATTGGAAAATTAAACTTTTTAACCAATACAAGACCAGATTTGTCTTACATTGTCCAAACCTTGAGTCAATACATGCACTCTCCCTGTTCTGGACATTATGAAGCAACGATGCATACATTAAGATATTTATGCAATGATCCAGGTTTCAAATTATATTTAACATCTGAGCCAATATTTCAACTATTGGCTTATTGCGATTCAGATTGGGCATCTTGCTCAGAAACCAGGAGATCAGTGAGTAGATTCTTCTTAAGTTTAGGAGGATGTCCAATTTCTTGAAAATCAAAAAAACAGCCAGTGGTGGCCCTCTGTTCTGCAGAAGCTGAATATAGATCCATGAGACGTATAGTGGCAGAAATTACATGGATAGTGCAGTTGCTAAATGATTTATCAGCAGAACCCTCTTTGTCGGTACCTCTTTGTTGTGACAGTCAGGCAGCAATACATATAGCAAAATATCCAGTCTTTCACGAGCGCACAAAGCACATCGAACTGGATTGTCATTTTGTTCGATAAAAATTACTGGATGGGCTGATATCACTATCCTATGTCCCTTCTTCATCTCAGCTCGCAGAATTGTTTACCAAATCTCTTGCAGGACCTTTACATTGAGCATTTTTGAGCAAGTTGGGTCTCCGAACTTCGGGTTCCAACTTGAGGAGGGGTGTTGTCGGAAAATTCAGAGATAATATTCCCGTTAATGAAAAAGAGAAAAGAACCTAAAGTCTATGATGAAACGAAGAAGAAGAAGAAGAAGAAGAAGAAGAAGAAAGTAATGAGACAGTTGGCAGTACATGTGCCTTGTTTTGATAAAATGAAAGAGAAGCATGAGCTGTATCATTTAGAAGATTCTAGAAAGGATATAGGTGTAATTGATATGTAAATATTTCCTTTTTTACTTTTTTATTATTTGAATTTGTTAGAGTTAGTTAAGATTTGGATTCCTTTTTTATGATAGGATAAGAATGAACAACTTGTATAAATAGGGAGGCTACTATAGATGAATACACAGAAGAGAATTTTTCTAATGCTTATTTCTTTCTTTAAGTTTTTCAAGGCTTGAGATTTAGGAAATTTATTATATATTGGATAAGTTTTAGTATAGGATAAACATATAGTAATATAGGTGTCTATGGACTTGCTTGCTTACGAATATTACATATTTGATAGATTGGGAACATTCTGAAGCTTTACGAAAGGGAAAGGCGAAATCTTGAGGATTTGTGACACGTGTTCGGCATTCAAGGTATGTTAAGACTTTTAGACTTCGTTGAGGGACGTTTTCTAATTAAAGTTTAAAACTGGAATAGACAATGGGTAAGGGTGAAAGATGAGGGTCTCGTACCAATGGTGTGACAGACATTGATATGAGTACCGGTGTTATAAAGAGAAAGTTTATTACTATAGAATGCGGATTGTAATCCGAGAATGCCAAAGCATATGGGCATTAGCTGACGTATTATTGACTTGAATTCTTTTTGTGTGATTGTGTTTCTTTATTGAACCCGTATATCTGTGATAGTTGAGGTGGTTATATATTATGTTGATATTTTATTGATTGAGATGCATCATTATCCCCTTTTATTGAAATCATATTGTGCACATGCATTGACATGAGATTGAGTATAACTTGGGCACGTGGAGATCGTCCGTGCGGAAATTGTTTGATTTTATGATAGTGCATTGAGATCGTCCGCACAGACACATGGAGATCGTCCGTGTCGGTATATGGACCTTGCGAGTCCCCCATGAGTCATGAACTTTTGATGTATTTTCGAGGAGTATCATGTATTAACGATTGAGAGAGTACTTGATAGCTGAGGCATATCATTTCATGGTGTCATACTGCATTGCATCTCATGACATCATTCATTCTTGTTGATTGTGTGTTTTATTAGTGGTGGACAGTACGTGATATTTGATTACCTCTATTTGATGAAACTTGACGGGTAAGTATAACATAGACTTGTATAAGTAAAGGACTGGTTTTCTGATATAAACTTTTGTCTCTACTTCTTCGTTGTCAGTCTATGAAATATACTGGGTACACGTGGTTTCGTACTCATACTACACCTGTTGCACTCTTTGTGGTGCAAATTCAATTCCGAATACAAGCACATCTCGTGGAGCTTTTTAAGCCCGAGCTTGAAGTATCTTGGAGTTGTGGTGAGCTGCTTGGCTGTTCCGTGGCCCACACCTCCCTTTATCTTTTATTTATTCTGTTGTTTTAGTATTCAGACAGGATATCCCTTATGTTTCAGACTTGCACCATATTTAGAAGCTCTTGTACTTATAACACCAATTTTTGGATGGTATTTTAGCTTTCCGCATTTCGTATTTATGAAGGACTTAGTGTTGGAGATATTCTACTTGTTGTTTACCTTTTTACATCAGTACTTAATTAAATTGGTAAAATTATTGGATTGGCTTATCTATCGATGAGGAACATAGGTGCCATTACGACTTATGAATTTGGATCGTGACAGGTAAATTATGAACCAATCTACAAGTGATAAGGGTATGTTTGGACTTTGTGACCATAATGAAAATAAGGGCAATTTTGTTCATTTTTTAGTTGAGGTGTATTTTTGGTCTTTTTTTTCTTAAAAATATAATAGATTCAATTTTAAAATCCTCGACAGTTGAAGCCGAAATTTAAATTCATAAATCCACCTATAATTAGAACTATTTAAATATTGCTTAAAGTATCATAAGGTAAGTTGCTCACATTTTTTATTTTTTATTTTAAAAAAAGATGCTCACTTGCCTTTCAACAACAGGTAATGCTTCATACCAAACTTAATATGATAATTTCAAAACCAAAGTTCTTTATAACTTCTCATAATCAATTAAATAGAATTCATGGTATAAAAATAATATTATCAATAAATATATTTTAAATCATAGTGATTCATAGGATAACCAACGCTTTAACATGGCAAGACTTTCCACAGGTTTATACTCTGGGGTAGTATGCCCTGCTCCCTGTATTCAAAAGGCATTAATAGAATGACAATTAAAAGTTATTTAAACAAGTGAACTAGAGTGTATATATATATAAGTTCGTAGTTAAAAATGAAGGTAAGTTAATAGATAATATTTCCTAGGAACCATTTGGCTATAAAAATAATTAATTTTTTTTGGAATAACTTTTATTTTATTTGAATCAATTTATGATCATAAAAATCTAAATTAAATTTGAAACTGTATTTTAAATTTAAAAAACAGCTTATAATTTGTTTTCCAACTTATATTTCACTTTCAAAGTTATATTTAAATACATTCAAATATGAACATTATCTCAAATACTTTTCTTTTTTTGCAAATTGTATAACTAAATACAACTTTTTCTTCAACTCCCACTCCATAAATTCCCAACAAAATAAAACATATTCAAAATCTATAGCCCAATGCTTATTTAATCATTTGTTAATTAACATATAAATACATATCCATGAAAGATGCATATTCTGTATTTATTGGTTTGATACCAACACCATATGCAAGCAAATTTTCATTATGAAAAGTATTGCTCCTTTCATTTTAATTTGCATGTTTGATTTTGATTTGATACGCAAATTAAGAAAAGAATTAAGAAAACTTTTGAATTCTTGCTATTTTAAATTAAAGATATGCATAATATATCAATTTTTCTTTGATCTTATGTTCTTAAACATGACTTGCAAAAATTTGATATAAATAGTTGTAAAAAAAAAAAAAACTAAAAAGAAAAGTAAAACAAACAAATTAAAACATAAACCCTTCGGGGTGGCCCAGTGGTTTGGGCTTGGGACTTCCATATTGGAGGTCTCAAGTTTGAAACCCCTTGCCAGCGAAAGCAAGGGGTTTGCCTTCTGGGTCGAGCTCGTCGCACCGGGCTTGCCTAGTGCGGGTTACCTCTTCTATGTGGTTTGCGAGCTATTGCATAGGAGCGAGGGTTTTACCCTGTGCGCACCCAAAGGGTAGTTGGTCGGGCTCGTCGCACCGGGCTTGCCTAGTGCGGGTTACCTCTCCTATGTGGTTTTGTGAGCTATTGCATAGGAGCGGGGGTTTACCCTGTGCGCACCCAAAGGGTAGCGGCTACGGGTTTTCCTTGTCATAAAAAAAAATAAAAAATTAAAACATATTTCATAGTTTCTTACCTTAACTGTCACGAATGTCATTTGATTGGAGTAACTTCTTGTATACCTATATGCAACAATCAAACTTAATTAATATTTTTTCAATTTATTCTTTTTCTTAAAATTAATTAAGGAATAATCGAAGAAAAAAATATTTAGGTTAGAAATTCACCCTGCAACTTGACCATCAACAATCCATGGCTTCCAATCATCAATAATTGAATAGTTTAGTGATTTAATCCATACTTGACTTGAAATAAATGGGACAACCAAATCGTGATCACCACTACTCCAAAAAAAAAAAAAAAAGTTTTTATGATACTATGGTAAAATTGAATAATCATTATTCCTTATAAAAAATAGTTTAGTAATTTTACTGCAATAATATAATATTAAGTAGTTATTAATGAAATTAACCTCAAAAATAAGTTTAGAAATTATTATAAAGTTAATTTATTAGCTATAAAATAAAATAATCTAAGTAAATACCTGTAAATAAGAGATCTAAAACCATTACGACTAAGATTTGCATGATATGGTATAGTATTGTTGATAATTGTTCCAAAAGACAAGTTCCTCCTGCATTCTTCCCATGCTCCAATAGTTTTCTAAATTTGATTTAATTTTGATATTTTAATAAATAATATCTAAGTTTCAATTTGATTTTTTTTTATTATTTCTTATTAAAATTACATACCTTTCGAACATGAAGAGCATCTCTTACATTATTATCGTTGGCCCAAATCAAAGAGAGGTCATGCCATTCTTTCTACAAAAATAATTACGGGGAAATAAATTGTTAGATATTTGTTCTGATTTTCATATCATAATATATAATAGAGATAAGTGTCAAAAACACATCTAAACTATACCCATTTTTGAGTTTCATACTTAAACTATTGAGAGTGTGAATTTCATACCTAAATTATCACTTTTTAGTTTGAGAAGCACACTTATCTCTTTTATACCACTCTCATCATGATGTGTGTAATACGTACACTCTTTCTTTTATTTCGAAAAATTGTCACATCACACTCCACATGGACTAAACATTCAACCTTGACAAAAATTAAATAAATTATTAGTATTAGTTAAAATTAAAAATTAAAAAATTATTATCCAAATAAATAATATTTCTTTTATAAAATAAAATATAAAATATTTTTCTTATCCCACTCCATCACTTCCTCTCACCCCCCTCCCCCTCCGCCCAATTTTTTTAGTTTTTTTTTATTTAAATTTCTTTTATAAAAGTATTTAATTTTTTTTACTTCATGGAGGAGGTGGTGGAGTGGTGGAGTGGTGGAGTGGGGTAAGAAAAATAAGTTAAATTTTTTTAAAAGAAAATTATTTTTTTTATGGATAGTAATACTTTAATCTTTAATTTTTAATTAATATTAATAGTTTATTATTTAATTTTTGTCAAGGTGAAATATTTATCCGTGTGGAATGACATGTGTCAAGGTTTTTTCAAATAAAAGAGAGAGTGCATTACACACACCACTGAGTTGTGTTTCTCAAACTAAAAAGTGATAGTTTAAGTATGAAACTCACACTCTCGATAATTTAGGTATGAAACTAAAAAGAGAGAGGATAGTTTAGGTGTGTTTTTGACACTTATCTCTATATAATAACAAGAAAAAAAAATCTAAATTTGTCTATGTATCTGAATTTGTTCAATTGTCTTGTTTTTCCAAGATAAACAATATTTTTTGTAGTACGTTACCCAATATTATTCTTGCATTAGCGAATTGTCTCATATTTGTCATTACAATTAGCAGAGTTTCAACGTGAAATATATGAATTTCATGTGTAAGGTTCAAATTTATCCAACTTATGACTATAATTTCGAATTATTCTCAAGTTGAAGTTACGTTAGGATTCAAGGTAAAAACAAGATTGTTTCCTCGTGGCAAGATAAAGTAAAAAAAATAATTGATAGTAACTTACTCGACATTTAACTTGAGGATATGTAGCAGAATTTTTGAGCTTTAGAACATTTTCAGTCAACCATCTTCTTGAATCATTTGATACAAGTTCACAAGGGGACTCTAGGATATTATATTGATAAATATCCTTAGTCAACTGCATTAATATATTAATGGTTTTTAATTATTAACTTGACAATTAAAATTATTTATTAAAAAAATGAGTGAGAGCTTACCCAATTGAAAGTATGCATGTCCCTTGAACAAAGTGGGTTGGTTGGACCATTATGTATCGACTCTTCTTCACAATTAGTCACTAATGACTGTTAATGGAAATTAAATTACACTTAATTAGAGAGGCATTTGAAGAAATAAAATAATTTAATGTGATACTTAGGTAATAATTTAACTTTAGTCATATGTGTCTTAACTTCAGACATATATGACTTATGATGTCTGAAGTTCAGACACATATGACTAAAGTTCAATTATTTTTACCTAAAATCAGACATTTTTATCTCAATATATAATTGAATTTCTATCATTTTTATCTTAAATCACCATATCTAAAATTATTTTGAAGTACTCATACCTTGTATAGTTCATCAGGAATTAGGCCCATCCCATGAGCAAAAGGTATCCTATAGTAATCTTGTCCAGCAAATGTGAATGGATTGCCCAAAATATATCCCTGCAAATACCATTTAATTTATTGGACATAAACGCATAATAAATTTTCTGTTACTATAACTAAAAGTTGCAGATATTTTTTCCACCAGAAAATCTTTTTTAGTATTAAGCTATATAATTCAGGTTGATTTTTACATAAAGTTATGTAACTTCACTCACTATAATAATAAAGTCACAAAAATAGTTTTTTATTATCATATTAAAGTAATAAAGGTTCATTATATGTGAAATCAACTCTGAATAAAATTATTAAAAATGAGATAGCTTTATTTAACTAATTTCCATAAAAAATCTACATATAATTAAATTCACCTAATTTCCATCAAAATGTACATATAATTAAATTCGCCTAAATAAAAGATACATGTATGATTACCAACCTTAAGATTGATCCATGGCTTGATTCCCCTATCAATACCTGCATTGTATAATTTGTATCAACAATATATTAAATTTTCAATATAATAAAAAACTATATATTATAATAATAAGGGAAAAGGGTCTAATATACCTCTCAACTTTGTCATTTAGATATGATAAACCCTCGTTATAAAAGTGGCTCATATATACCCTTACCGTTATGCAAATTGCTTACATATACCTCTATCGTTACAAAAAGAGCTCACATATACGGATATACCCATCATTTAACGGAAGTAAAAAAAAAATAGTTTTTAATTTATTCTTTTGACTTCTATTTTTTAAGAAATTCATGTAAGGGTATATATGATCTTTCTAGCAAAGTTCAAGATATATATTTTAATTTTTTTTCATACATAAATTATTTTTTACTTCTTTGATTATCATTATTTGAGTTTCTTATTCTTATTTTATTTTTTTCTTTCATTCTTTAGTGTAAAGGAGAAAATTTAAAACTATTTTTTTTGCTATATTATAATTTAAAATTATTTTTTCGGCTAGATTGTACTTTAGTTTTTGTATTTGTAAAAAAAATGAGGCATCTATAATAAATTTTACAAGAAAATTAGTGAAACATAAATAAATTTGACTATCAAAATAATAAATTTAAATTAGTCGTTGAAACAAAAAAGTCAAAAACTTACATATGAGGAGGATCAATATACCCCATATGGATCATATTTTTAAAAATAATAATAAATTAAAATAAATTTCTTCACTTCTGTAAGAAGAAAAGGATATATATGAGTCACTTTCATAACAAATGATATATCAGATCTAAATGATAAAGTTGGGAATACATCAGACCATTTTCCTTAATAATAATTACAAACGAATTATTTATTAATTACCATTTGATATTACTTGAGTAACAATAGGAACTGTAATTCCACTATATGAGTCTCCAGCAACATAAAAAGGATTATTGAGATATTCTTGATGCTCAATTAACCACTGTAAAATACTTAAAGAAAATTGGTGACTTAAACAAATAGATTTAAATATTATCATAATACGTGATAATTATGCACATATAATATTATTAATAATAAAAATAAAAATAATATTTTTTCATGACTTACCTTACGAAGAAATTCATAAGCATGATTAGCTGATTGTAAATCATCTGAGTAATTTGCTTTTTGTGTTGTTGCATAGGAAAATCCAGTTCCCACTGGCAAATCCACAAAAATCATGCTTGCCACCTATAATTCAATTAAACAATTAGGGGCATTTTTAGATATACCATATATAGGAGTTCGTGTCGGTACGAGTTTGATATATGTTATTGTATTTGTCTAAATTTATGTGGCAGAAATTGTAACGACCGGTTTCCATCATTATAGAAAAGTCATCGGGGAAAAAATTTGGACCGAAAAACTTTTTGGTAGTATCTTAAAATTTCTCAACCTAGTCCAGATTTGGACGAAATCGGAGTCAGTGAGGTCTAGGGAAATCTAGTAACAAACGGGAGATCAAATTATGAATTTGATCATATGAGTAGATAGCGAAGACGTTAAGGAACCCGTATGACTTTACGGAATTGAATTCGGGCGAGTAGAACTCCCGAAATTGATCTTAGCGTGAACGAGTATTCTCTGACTATTGTGGGATGAAGGTGAGTTGTGAAATAGGGGTTTGGGAATTCTTTAATTAGCACTCTGTTCCGTGCAAGCCTCTATGGCGGGATTTGTGCCGCTAGGGCGGGGACACTGCAGCGGGGTGAGGACCATTGTGGCGGGACAGACGCGACTTAAGTCGAAAATAAACCCCAAAAACGTCATTATTCTGCACTTTTTGACTTTGAGAGCTAAGGAACGACCCCAGGTGTTTTCTTGAAAGTTTTTCACCATTCTTGAGGCTAAAGGTAAGGTTTTCACTCCCCGAATCCATTTTTCAATCCGTAGAACTTAGTTTCTTGGGTAATTATCGATGGGGGAGGGTTTTGATCTGGGATTTATGGTGGAAAAAATCCTAATCTGGGTATGGGGATCAAGGGTTAGACCTAGGGTTGATGTTACCGATTATAATCTGGATAATTAGATTTTGTTTATTGATCCTTGTATTATTATGATTGTTTGTAGACTAAGAACAAGCGGGAAGAATCCGAAAAGGGAAGAATCAAGTTTCTTAGGGGATTCAAGCTTTGTTCGAGGTAGGTGATGATTGTGATTTCATGTTTGTGTGATATATGTTTGTAATTGCTTCATTATATTGCATGTATGTATGTGAATGTTGCATTATTGATCACACCTTATGTAAATGAGTATGAACGAATAACTATATGTCATAAATCACCTCTTAATTGTATGATTGTGAAGAATTTACATTGTGATTGTGATTGTGGTATGTTGAATGGATCGGGTGTTACGTTTAAATACACTAACTGGGATCGGATGTCACATACCGGCATAAATATTGGAACGGGTGTCACGATCCGACACACTAACTTGGAACGGGTGCCACGATTCGGTACACTAACAGTTTGGGTGTGGGTTTCATGAGAGGGTCATTGACTTGTTATATTGATGTAATTGAGAATGTGGAATTGCACGTTGTTCATAAGTGATATTTGATATTGTATATGTTCGGTGTATGCATGTTTATGATGTTGTAATTACTTACTTATGTTGCACTAATTGGGATAGCCGCGTGATCCTACCAGTACACTGTGGTTGTGTACTGATATTGCACTTGCTCTATCTTTATTGAGTACAGGGCATCTTCAACAGACCTCGTTTAGAAGAGCAGTGATCGTCATCGAATTCAAGGGTGAGTCAGCTCTTCCGAGCTGCCTTGAGTTCTCCTTTTGTTTAGTCCATCTTTTCGGATTTAGACTAGTTCATTAGATATTCCTATGTTTAGCTTGGGTTGTACCCATTCCTTAGACTTATGATCCTTGTTAGATTTTTGGTACATTGACTTTCAGGTTTTACAAAATTATTTTCCACATTGTTTTGTTAGTCATTGTAAGATCTTTTGAGAGTTTATGGGAACTCTATTTTACTCTTGCATTTAACCCTGCTTCTGTATCTTTAAATGTTTTAGTTTTCGTAAATTTGGTTAGTTGAGTTGTAGTAATGGTTCTCCCACCGGAGGGTTAGTGTGGGTCTTCTGTATCTTTAAATGTTTTAGTTTTCGTAAATTTGGTTAGTTGAGTTGTAGTAATGGTTCTCCCACCGGAGGTTTAGTGTGGGTGTCAATCACGACGGTCTGGATCGTGATAGAGATGAAATTAGGAGACTCAATTAATTTTTTATATATGTTTAACTTGTTAATTATTGTGATTTATAGTTTTTTTTTAATTTGGAAAAACTATCTTATTAGACGTACATCAATATTGTATATACTAATTATACCTATACTTTTGAATAATTACATATCTTACCACTAGTTAAGAGTTTTCGATAATATGTTGAGAAAGATACACCAATACACATGTATTGCTGCCACTAGATATACTAAAATAGGGAGGGAGACGAACGAGATAGAGGGAGATAGATTCATGTATCCCATATATATACAAATCACGGTAGATACATACTAGATACATGTATCTGATGTGATCCACATGTACCTAAGATACCAGATACATAGGAGAGTGACGAGTGAGATGAGAGGAAGGAGAGCGAGATATGTCTATGTATCTCATATACATGCATATTCACTTGAATACAATGTATTTTAAAAAAATTATACCTAATTTGACTCAGATTCATGTATCTGAACGCACACAGATCTAATAAAATTCATAATATTGCAAATTAGAGTATATCTAAATAATTTACTCCTAAACTAATGAGATTTCGTAAGTTTTCCTTTTTATTTCTATTTCTGACCTTTGTGTATGCATGTGGATTTAAAGACAACGTTGGCAAGCTCCCATTATAAGCTCTAGTGTCCAATGTGATGGGTCCTGCAAATTTTAGCAAAAAATTTGAATAATATCTAACATCTTAAAAACATAATTGAGTGACGTCATAAAAAACTAATTAGTACAATTTGCAATTTGTAACCCTTTTTTTTTTGCTTTAGTATATGATTGTAGTTTACATATATAAATATATAGGTAAATACTACTCATTTATTTTTCCTATCTTATAAAAATTGGTTAAACACTTATTTCTGCTAATAAATTAATGCTAATAAGTTATTAGCATCATGTTAAAAATATTATTCTAATAAATAAATAAGTATGGATTATGATTTGTTAAAAATAAACAAAATGAAAAACTTCTTTCAGCTTAATTTAAAAGTTGAAATAAAAACTTCTACGTATAACTATTCAAAAACACTTATTTCTTTGCAAAAAATTTATTGTAAACACCTGTAATATATTTTTAGCCGATGGCCAAAAAAGGAGAAAAGCCTAAAAGAAAACCAATTCTTATAATATAAGGATAAAGTTAGATGAATAATTTACCAAATTCAAAAAAAATCCCACTCAATGGAGAGCAACCGGGACCTCCCGTAAACCAATAAATAAGTGGATCGACTTTAGGATTAGATTGCGACTTTATAAAATAATAGAAGAGTTGCACCTCATCTGCTTCACCTACTCCTATATACCTGATCAAGTAATTTGAGAATAGTCAATATTTTGCGAGTTTCATATATACATTATTGAATATTAAAGTATCCCATGAAGATATATAACAGATCAAATAAACATCAAACTCCAAAAACTTTTCTAAAGAGTTTCAAGTAGTAATACGTATAAAAAAAAGCGTTCTAACTCCTAAATAATTGGGTGTTCACATAAACCCCTAAATTATCACAGAACATATATATTGTAACCAATAAAACTTATTTTTCATTTTCATCTCTCAAGCGCCTCGTAATCTCAAACATTTTACCATATATAGGAAAGGAAAAGTACATTATAGCTTTAGTCCATTTGGGACTATATATATATATATATATCCCCTTGTGGGGATTGTATTTCTCCACTACCATTCATTGTGTCCAATGGATGCTTTAATATCTGTATGTTTATTTTTTTTAAAAATTATGTTGCTCGAACTCAAACATTCAAATGCACACAATTACTATGGGTATAGATTTAAAGATTGAATTCGTAAATAAATGGTGTTACATATAGAGTAGATATTCTTTTAATTAATAAAAGTTAGTTCTCAATAAACACTTAAAATTTTGTACATTATTTGGTATATTTTTTCAACCTATGATATTAGTTATGCATTCTAATTAGTATGAAGATATGTCTAGTTGATACATAGAAATTCATAGTATTAATAATGCAAGAGATTTTAATATATGCATTAGCATGATTAAAAACACAATTTCCCCTTAAAATCTTTTCTACATTCTTTTCATTATATTTATGCAGGGTATAATTTTTGTAAATAAAAAAAATAAAAATTATTCAACGTATATCATTTTAATACACTAAATCAAATAATGTATAAAGATAATTTCTACATAATTAATATCATCATAACTAATATTATCATCATTACTAAAACACCCTATTCAACATTATCCTTATATATCCTAATATCCTATCAAACACCATCACAAGCTAAGAACGCAAAAAAAATCATTCAACCATTCCTTCCGTCCCTTTTTAGTTGTCATGTTCCGCTTTTCGAAAGTCAATTTGACTATTTTTCAAAGTTACATTAAATTACATTAGTTCGATATTTTAATCTAAAAATTTAGATATTCAAAAATTTTACGAAAAGTACTAAAAATTACAATTTTTGCATATCAATATGATAAAAAAATACATAATAAAATATTGATCAAAGTTCTTATCGTTTGACTCTAAAAAAGGAAATAATAACAAATAAAAGGGAACGGAAAGAATATATGTCATGCATCCATTAATTTGATATAAATATCTGCTGCCCGAGAAGAGTTGGTCTTTAACATTAAAAATGTTAAAATGAGAATCAAACCCGGAGACAACAGATGCAATTTAACTAACAACCACTGCACCAATCAACTACTTGTTGCTTGAGTGCTCACTGGTTAAATTTATATCATTTGTTTATATTTTTATTAATTAAATACAAAATTAATGAATGCTCCAAACACCTGAAAGCTTCGATGTAGATCCGCCCCTACGATTAAATATTTACTTAAGATAAATAAATAAAATTACCCGGTTTCAAGTTGAAAGGGAAGTGGTCTTTCAAATCCAGGAAGATACTTGACAGACAAACCAGCTAGAGCAGGCTGTAGGCATATGATCTCAAATGCAACTATTAAGATGAGAATTGGAAGCCAGCACATCTTTTTACAGTGACGGATTCAGAATATTCGTCGCGCGTTTATTGGAATTCAGTAAGCACTACTGAATTAACAAATTTTGAATTTTGGATCTGTTTCTAATTTTCCAATATAAAATTCGTCTCTGTCAAATAGATTGTGAAAACAAGAGCAGTTATATGTGGATAAGTATCATTCTTTAATTGTGTAGCACCAATCACATGATGCTACGTGGATATTTATTGGCCATTTCTTTATTATCCTAGAAGTTGGTGCATCTGAAATGGTTTATTTAACACGTTTTTATTAAGTAAGCTAGTTTTGAATTTATCATTATTATAAATCATAATTTTATATATAAATATAAGTTTGACATAAAATCATTATTTTTATGATAAACTAAATAAAATATTATCTTAAAATTATAACATAAATTTTTAGTTTTTTTTTATAAATAACACAATTACTAGTTATTACAATTCGTCAACTTACATTGTAGCTACAAAAATTCATCAGTACAAGATGAGAGATCTCATATATTGGCAAGGATGAAGAAGAATTTATTCAAATCAATCAAAATAAATCTGGAGTACATTTATACAAATCAAGCAAAGCAATTATAAAGTAATAGATGGTTTATATCCTTAAAAAGAAACCAACGGTTATATATATATATATATATATTACCTTAAAAGCATGAACTCCTAACTTGAATGTTAAATTACTATAACATTCCTAACTTAGGTTGTGACTTTTTCGATGAACTATGACTTTTTTGATAAGTTGTGACTTTTTTCAAAGGGTTGTGATTTTTCAATGAGTTATGACTTTTCCAAAGAGTTGTGACTTTTTCAATAAGATGTGACTTTTCCAAAGGGCTGTGATTTGTTGGAAAGGTCAGGACTTTTCAGATAAGACACAAAAAGCACTTGTTCATACTATCTTTTGTTGATTATAAATAGAGGGGTTTCCTCTCATTTTTCAACCACAATTTTTTTTAATCTTCTACTCTTCTTCTTCTTGCATTTTAAAAAATTTCGTGTGATTTATTGTCGTTGAGTGAGTTCAAAGTTTAGCGGAATATGAGGTACCACTATTCTGATGAAGTAAATTGTTCTATTCTAAGAGAGTATATTCTTTAACCTCGTGTACTTGAGGAAATAATTATGATGATATAGTAATTATGTCTTTGCTTAGTATATACATTAGTATGTAATGTTCTAATATATGAAGTTAACATTATATAGTCTAAATTCATTTATTTTTGTTAATACTTCTCTTGTGATGTAGATATATGCTTTTGAATATCTTTTTCAAAAATTATTAAACTTTTCAAGAGCTACAGAATTGTCACGATTTGTTGTTTGATGCTCAATACAAAGAATGACTTTATTTATCAATGTTACTTATGTGATTTAGATTGTCAGGAAGTTTGCTTCAAAATAGTTATTACTATATAAACATTGCCCTTTTGTTTTATTGATTTACTATTTCTTAATATTTAAGTATTTTCGACGAAGAAAAGTTTATATGACTTGTAATAACGCCAGTTGAAATTTGTATTAGTTTAATTTTTATTGTAGTCTAAATTCATTTGTTTTTGTTAACAATTACTCTTAGAGAAAACAACCAAATACCTCCCTCAACCTATTACGCAACTCTCAACTACACATCAATACTTTACAAAGGTCCTATTACCCCCTAGAAGTATTTTGAATAGAGATATTAACACCCTTATGTGTTGATGTGGCACAACAAGTTTGTTCACTTTCCTAGAGGCAAGTGTAAGGCAGATAAATAGGTCAAAATTAAATGATTTGACAACTGTCATTTCTTAATTGAATTCAATACAATTAATAAATAAATTTAGTTAATTACAATCACATACTCTCTCTCTAACCATTACCAACCTCTAAAAATTAAACCTCTGCAATTGAATTTTGCCATGACTTCCATGGGCAATTACCTATACAATATTTTTTTTTTCACTTTTAATCCACAATGAACTTTTTCATGACTAACACCTTCAAATCTTTCCTAAAAATAGACAACATAACCAAAAGAAAGAAAATGATAATCCTTTAATTTCTTTCACCTCAATGGAAAATACTTTCAATCCGATATTGAAAAATGATATTACAACTTATGCTAGAGAAATCTTTTCGATTATAGTAGCAGCCCAAATTTCTTGTTAGGAATTGAAAGAGGGTATTAGAATTTGAAATTTGTGAGTTTCTTGATTGGAACTGAAAGTGGGTATTAGAATTTGAAATTTGGTACAAGGAAAAATTACATACTTCAAATACCATAAAAAAAGACAACTAGAGAACCCAGAAGCAGAACTAGACAATAATGGCAATAAGATACCATAATAAAAAGATTCAACATTCATGTTAGTTTATTGAATTCAACAATAACAACTAGATTTTGTGACAAATAAATGATCGAAAAGATAGAAGAAAGACGGAGGATGATGGGTGTGACAGAGATGAAGATGGATTGGAGAAGATGAGAGATTGGGAACAATGGAGAAAAAATAGAATGATTTAGGAAAATGAATAGAATAGTGGAGAAAAAATAAAAAGCATTAAAATTGATGTATTTTGGTGATGATTTTTTTTTAAAAAAAAATTATTCTGAAAAATAGGTGAGTGCATTACACTCAGCAACAAAGATTTAGGGGTGACGTTTTAAGGGTGTCAATAGTTGTGTTTAAAATACTCTAGGGAGTAATAGGACCCCGTGAATTATAAGTGTGTAGTTGAAAATTGGATAATAGGTTGAAGGGGTATTTGACTGCTTTCTCTTACTCTTATGATCGATGTGGATATAGGCTTCTGAATATCTTTTTCCAAAATTACTTAACTTCTCAAGAGTTAGAGAATTGTCATGATTTATTTTTTTGATGCCCAAGATAAAGGAATGATTTTATTTATTAATGTTACTTATGTGATTTAGATTATTAGGAAGTTTGCTTCAAAATAGTTATTACTATATAAACCTTGCCCTTTTGTTTTACTGATTTACTATATATTAATATTTCAGTATTTCAACGAAGAAAAGTTCATATGACTTGTAATAACGCCAGTTGAATTTTGTATTAGTTTAATTTTTATTGTAGTATAAATTCATTTATTTTTGTTTACAATTTCTCTTGTGATGTAGATATACATTTCTGAATATCTTTTCCCAAAATTATTAAACTTCT